TCACTTGTTAATACATCTTTCGAATTCCATAATACGTAAGGTGTGAATAGTATAGAAGAGTCAACAAGTGCAAGGTACACATCTTTGACTTTTAAACACTCGAATTGGAAAGGAGACAGGCTGTGACTTAATGGGAGCATTGTGTTTGTGTAGCAAACAAACAAACGAACTCAATTCCCGATGCCTTACTTTTAACCATTTACATTAAAAACTTCAACTACCACTTCCAAGTTCTATAAACGAATACTACTAGTAAGTTCTTAAATTACCATGTAAATGTCATTAATTGACTAAACCCGTTTTTTAAAATTCAGTTTAGTGGATATACTTCCAAGTGTATTTATTTGATATACTCATATACTACTAGTCAAATTCATCGTATTATTGTTTTCTATCGTCTAAAAAGGAGAAAAAGATATGATCACGATAATATATGTCATTGTTAATGAACTACGTATGACTATTTTTATTGTTATGACACCACATTTAACATCTTCTCCTTTGGTTTCTTCCGAAATCACTTGGTCCCAATTATATAACTACAAATACAAAAGCCTACGTACTACCTACCCAGATAATAATGTATATCGAATAAAAATAAGTACTAGTTTGGTAATTGTGTACATTATGCAGGTAACTTTGTCTTTTTATTTATTAATAAAAACAATACTAATATTTAAATAAATCCACTTTCTTTAGGTATGAGTGAGGAACCCCACCAAATTTAACTCATGCATATTAAAAAAAAAAAAAGATTCTTGTATATTAATATAACTACTGCTACTATCCTCACTTACTTATTCTCACTAATAAACACTGCAACCAAAAAAACTTTTTTTTTCCTCTTTCACGCGTTGAAGATTCTTGCTTTCTTCTTGTTCGTACACGATCACTGATATGTGTCGGTGACTGAAAGAATATGCTCTGATCTTTTTCCTCTGATTTATCGAAATGTTTCAGTCTTAATCTAAAGGGTAAAAAAGGTCTTTGAAACTTCTGAAAGTTAAGGTACTACTCTGTTCTTGTTCAGTTCTCAAGATTACTCTGTTTTTTTCTTCTTTTTTTTGGTTTTTGTACTATTAGGTTTTGTTCCAAATCACATAAGTTTTGATCTTAAAGCTTCTTTGTCTCTGTTTCTATCTTATTGCAGGTTTCATCAAATACTCAGATCTTGTCTGAAACTGAGAAATCTGATAAATGGGTTTCTTTAAATTCATCTTCTTGTTATCTCTTCTATGGAGTTTCTACAGTTTAGGCTCATCTCAGCTTCAAGCTTCACAAGCACAAGTCCTTCTTCAGCTTAAAAAACACTTAGAATACCCAACACAGCTCGAATCTTGGTATGATCACAAGACCAGTTTCTGCTTTTTACAACCATTACAATCGATGAACATCACTTGTTTCTCTAATTCAGTCACAGAGCTAAACATCTTCGGTGATAAATCATCAGAAAAAGTTCAAAACTTTGAGGGTTTTGCTATTCCAAACGTTACTTTATCTGATAGATTCTCAATTGAATCGTTTGTTACTACACTGTCAAGGCTAAAATCTCTTAGGGTTCTTACTTTGGCTTCTTTAGGGATTTGGGGTCATCTCCCTGAGAAACTTCATAGGTTAACTTCACTTGAGTATTTGGATTTGAGTGATAACTTTCTATTTGGATCAGTACCACCAAAGTTGTCTTCAATGGTAAAGCTTGAAACTTTCAGATTTGATCATAACTTCTTCAATGGAACATTACCTAGCTGGTTCGATTCGTTTTCGGATCTTAAAGTTCTTAGCTTTAAGAGTAATGAGCTATTTGGAGAGATACATTCTTCGTTACTGTCGTTATCGACAATCGAGTATATCGATTTGAGTTCGAATTCTCTGAGTGGTTCACTTCCGGATGATCTGAAATGTGGAAGCAAACTCGGGTTTATCGACATTTCCGACAACAAGTTAACCGGAAAACTCCCTCGTTGCTTAAGTAGCAAGCAAGATTTAGCGGTGAAGTTCAACGGAAACTGCTTATCTCTCCAGAGACAGCAGCATCCACAATCTTTTTGTGTTAAAGAAGTTCGCAAGGCGGAAAAT